CCTACCTTAACTCCACAGCCCTGGGGGTCTGAAGGTAAAGGATGGGAACCATGGGCATTGGCATCACATGCTAAGTTCTTCTTAGAGTCCATCCACAGGTCATAACTAGGGTTTCCTCCATGGACCCGAAGCTAGGCTGTGGTAGGAAAAGAGCCCAAATAGAGGAAAGTGACAAATGTCCTATGTGGGAGTCCCGGCTGTACCATCTGCTAACCCTGAGACCTCGGCAACCGATCCCAACTCTCTGAGCCTCTATGCCATGTTGGCCAAATAAGGGCGTTAAGAGCTTATGGTGAGGATTCAGTGCACTGTGCAGGCACAGCTCCTGACCCACAGCAGGGCGCTCAGAAACCACTGGCTCCGTGTTAGGGGATTGTAGGGACATGAATGAATGAATGACTCGGGGTGCACAGAGGTCATCTTTCTTCCCCGGTGAATGTGGGTACCCTGTTGCTAGTTCTCACATTTTTTAAAGAAAAGCTGGGGATTTCAATCTGGGAACTTTCTCAATCTTGAAATGTTGTCAACAAATTATAAATATATTAAAAATATTGCGTGGACCAAGTAAAACAGACCACTGGAGTGTGACTTGCGGCTCAAACTATAGAAACAGATGAAGAGGATTACTCAACATTCAGGGGCGCGGAGCCCCATGCTTCGAAGTCTTTACACAGATCATCCCGTCAAGTCCTCGCGGTCTCTCTTATGAGTCCCATTGCACGGATGAAGCAACCGAGGGTCAGCTTGAGGAAGAGATCTGGCAGCACTGGAAACATAGACAGGCTTCCAGAGGACCTGACATTCCCCTTTACCCGCTTTCTAAATTCCTAGAAAGGAATTCAGGAAGCAAACAACAGCCCCAGAGAAGGGCTGGGAGCTGCCCAGCCACACAGACATGTGTGGCTGGCTGAGAATGATCGAGTTTCCTGTCCCTTCTTGGTCAGGGCACCAGGTGGACGGCTCAGAGGGGATCCCGGCTGTGCAGATCCATTCAGCCAAGCCCGAGATGGGGCAGGCCATGGAGGCAGGAGAGGAGCCCATGGCTTTTTATCTCCCTGAACAATGCATGTATAGGCTTAAGAAGGTTCTAGATCCCAAGCCTAAGTCCTGTTTCTTCACCTAAAAATCTGGGAAGCTGGACTGGAAATCCCAGACCCCCACTGACCAAACGCTCTGTTACTGAGTTCTCCTAAGATTGTCTGGAGAACAGCCAACCACATGGCTTTGGACCCATTCACCAAGAACTGGCGATAATTAAGATATGCTGTATGTGATTCTTTCTGATTAGAAACTTGGCCAGGTTTCCCTTCCTTGGTGAACTTTCTAGTAAGGAAGGATAACTCACTCCACAAAATGGGACACTTAGAGAATTAAAGGCTTGTTTTCTTCAATCAAAGAAAAGAAAACAACCAGAAGGTATTCAAATTCCAGTTTGTATAAGGCACTCAAGGCACTGGGCACAGAGAGGAGATACAGAGCAGGGGCCCCATCTCAACCCTTGAGAACTGATGGCAACTTCCAGGAGGAATGTAGAGAAACTTTATGACCTTCCCCTTCTGGACCCAGACATCAATCCTTACATGTGGAAGAACAGGGTAGCGGGTAATTCAGCACCCAGACCACCTGTGTTCACACCCTCACCGTGCTAGTTCCTAACTGCATGGCTGTAGGCAACCCATTTGATCCCCTGTGCCTCAGTTTCTCCAGACGTAACATTAGAGTGCCTATGTCCTAGGATTGTTGATGCATCTTAAAGCACCTTAGGGCAGCCCCCGCCCCCGCCTGCCTGCTACCCCGGTTTCACCACCTATAAATGGTATTAACAGTTTCTACTTCCAAGGTTGTGGCCAGAATTAAAGGCGTAATACGAGCAAAGCCTCTGGTTGGGTGGCCGGGGCATCTGAAGCACTAGACACACATTCACTCTTAACATCGTGTCCGATTATTTAAGAAAGAGCTATTGATGAATGAACTTTCTCACTAATCTGTATGTAAATCGTCATAATTGGACTGTTCTTGAAAGTTTGAGGAGCGTTTCCTCAAAGATGCTTTCCCATTAAGACTTTCCACTGACTCAGACCAGAGGACTCCACCTCTCCCTTATCGCAATCAGGGCGGACCTTCCTGGCCCTGGGCCTCAGTTCCCCTCCCTCCTCTGCTCTGCTCTTTCTAGCTCATAGGACTCTTCCTACTCCGTGTGTGTCTCCCAGCAGCCCCAGGACAAGTGAGTCAGGTAACGTTGTCCCCACCTGACAGATACAGACCCAGGAGTCCCAGCAGCTCCCTCCAAGGTCGGTGGCACATGCTGTGGGACAGAGGTTCGAGCCCAAAGCCCTGAGTCCAGGCACACGACATGGCTCTGGAGTCCTGGGCCCACCCCTTTCCTTGGGCAGGTGATTTACTTCTCTAACCTTCCTTTCCTCACCTGTAAAATGGGAACATAACAGTACCTACTTCCTAGATTCGCTGTTGAGGATTGAGCTAGTGACACCACATAAAGCTCTTTAAACGATGCCTGGCGTATGAGGACTCAATCTTTTAGCAGAACAACGCATCTGAGTTTGCTGGACACTGTCCTGCTTTATGCCTGACAACGAGCAAATCTTCTAGTTAGAGTCCCGAGCGCTCTAAAAAATGTCCTGGCTTGGGGGACGCCTGGATGATGCAGTAGGTTAAGCATCCGACTTCTGGTTTCAGCTCAGGTGGTGATCTCAGGGTCGTGAGATCGAGCTCTGTGTTGGGCTCTGGGCTCAGCACGGAGTCTGCTTCGGATTCTCTCTCCCTCCCCCTCTGCTCCTCCCGCTTGTGCTCTCTCTCTTCCAAAAAATAAATAAATAAATCTTTTTTAAAAAAATTTCTTGGGGTGCCTGGGTGGCTTAGTGGGTTAAGCCTCTGCCTTCAGCTCAGGTCATGATCTCAGGGTCGTGGGATCGAGCCCCACATCAGGCTCTCTGCCACCCCCTGCCTGCCTCTCTGCCTACTTGTGATGTCTCTCTCTGTCAAATAAATAAATAAATAAATAAATAAATAAATTTATTCCCTGGGCGTGCTGAGCTCTAGTCCTCCGGCCAAGCTCTCATCACAGAGAGAGGAGAACACAAAGCCAAAAGGTTGTGTCCACGTGGAGCCCATGCCCCCCCTTATCTAGATCACTCTCTAGGTCCCCAGGCCCCAGGGATTCCCTACCCAGACAGATTCCCTAAGCCCACATGTCTGGGTCTCTTCTGCAGATCCATACCACAGGCATGCCCAGTTCTGGGCCTGAGGGATGGCCAAGGCACAGCTCTCCAAGAGGAAAGGAGGTGCGGACGGGCTTGCAAGTACTGGCTAAGAGGCTCACATGTGCAGGGCAGGCCCTAGGCAGATGTGGGAAAGAAGGGGTCTCCTCTTCCTGCACCACCAGGCTCTGCACAGGGTCCGATAGTCTGAGAATTCTACATTCAAAGCTGGCCTTCCTGGTTGCTGTGAAAGTGTACTTGTCAAGGTAGGAAACTAGAACATATTTTATTTCACATTTTGTTAGCTTGATTTATAAATTGCAAATATTTAGACATATGGTACGCGAGCCTCCATCTGTACTCTTGTTCAGTCCCATATATCCCCACCACCTTCTGCCTACTCTCAACACCAAATGTTTACTGAGCCCTTCTTCTGTGCTGAGCCCCCAGAGACTCCACAGAGGGAAGGGCACTGTCCCAGCACCCAACCGCGACCATCCACATGGGAGCAAACCTCATGCTCCTAAACAGGGAAGAGCATAGGGTGAGAGGTGAGGGCAGAGGCCTGGTCTGCTCCCAACCCCTAGGGAGGTGGGGACCTTCCCTGCCCCTGCCTGGGCCTTGGTTTTCCCATTTACACAAGAAGTCCTTCCAGCCCTGAGTAACTGAGAGACACAGAGTCAAATCCAGGACCCCGAGAGACCATGAGCTGGGAATGGGCAAATAAGGCTTACCAGGCACCACGGTGTGGAACTGAGCACTCTGCCCTAGGGAGGTACCGTCACAGCCCCATGCCACTTCATTCGTTCATCCCACAAACACGGCAGTCACACCTGCTGTGCAAGGCACTGAGCTCTCCGAATCTGGCAAATATGGGAGGATAAACAGAACAAGCGCACAGAAAACCAACACGCAAAGCAAGATTTGGTGAGGGTGCCCAAAAGAGACCTTCCCTAAGCTCCTTCTATCCTTGCAATCTCCGGCTCTTACGTCTATTTCCTGGATGAGAAAACAGAGGCCCAGAGATGTAAGGGGCTTGGTCAAGACCTTGCGGCTTAGAGCGCACCCAGAGCTTGAGGCTTGCCAGAAACGAGGTTTCGGATTCCCGCAGGCTCCGGCCACTGTCCCAAGCTGACCAAAGCTCGGGAGGCCGGGTCCAGCTCCCGGAAGGTTGGAGGGAGGTGAGCGCCAAGGAAAGGCTGGGCCAGAAGACGAGCCGGCCGGGAGGCAGGGAGGGGCCTGGCGGGGGGCGACCGGGTGGTTCGGGACTACCGGGTGCGCAGCCCCGGGCGCCCGGAGCGCAAGCGGCTGGGTGCGCGCGAGCGGCAGCCGCGCTCATGTGGGTCCGCCTCGGCCGGGCGGGGGTCGGGCTTCGAGGCGCCGGCGGGGGGCGAGGCGGGGCAGCAAGGGCGGTGCTGCAGTGCCCGAAGCGGCGGGCTGGGGGAGCTGTGCCCGCCTGTCCCCAAGGCCCGGGCTAGGACCGGGCAGCTGGGTGGCCGCGCCTCTAGCCCGGCCGCGCTAGGCGGCGCGCAGCCAGGCGTGCCTGGAGCGGGCTCCGGCCCTGAGTCCTCCCGGGCGCCCGGCCGGGGAGGCCCCCGGAGAAGCCCAGTCCCGCGGGCCAGGGCGGCCGCTGCCGCGGTCGCTCCGGCCCGCCCCCGGGGGGTGTCCCGGGCCGCTGGGCCCGCCCAGGTAACCCCATCCTCGGCCCGCCCCTGGCCCGCCCCCCCGGCCGCCCGCCCGCCCGCCTCCGCCGCCGCCGCCGCCGCCGCATCCCGGCTGTGGGGCGGCGCTGACAGTCTGGTCCGCGCCGGGCAGCGGGCGCAGCAGCGGGCAGGGCTGACGGCAGGCACGGAGGCAGAGCCCCGCCGCGCGCGCCCCGGCCCGCGCCCGGCGCCGTGCCCCAGCCCGCCCGCGGGGCGCCCACCTGCCGCCCCGACGGGAGGCCCCCCGCGGTCGGAGCCGCTGCCCGGGGCCGGGCGCCCGCGGCGGCACCATGAGTCCCCGCTCGTGCCTGCGTTCGCTGCGCCTCCTGGTCTTCGCTGTCTTCTCGGCCGCCGCGAGCAACTGGCTGTAAGTCGGGCCGGGACCCGGCTGGGCCGGGCGGGGCGGGGCGGGGCAGGCCCCGGGGGCAGCCGGCCTGTGCCAGGCGGCGCGGGGCAGCGGGCGCGGGGACGCCCGGCAGGTGTCTCGGCGGCGGGACGCGAGGCTCGCTCGCCCTCTCCGCTGCCGCCGCCACGGCCCGGGCCTCCCTCTGGGCACCCCTCCTGTCCGGGTGCGGCTCCCAGCCCAGAGGCGTCAGGGGTGGCGGCGGCGTCCGCACCCATAGGCGGACTGGGGCTCCCGAGAGCGCGAGGGGCGCGAGCGCGGGGCGGCGACCCGGGTGGGGTGCGCGGCTTGGGGCGCACCCCGGGCTCGGCTGACAGGTCGCCGAGGAAGCCCATTACGGAGAAGGACTCTGGCTCATAATAGCAGGTTAATCCCGGGAAGTCCAGGAGCGAGCTCCCCGCGCCGAGCTGCGCGTCGCTGCGGGCTGGGCTGGAGGCGTGCAGGGACCTGTTTCTGCTTGGGGGGCGGGAGCCAGGGATAGAAGGAAGGAAGGGACCAGGACACCCGGCCTCGGCCTCGGAGAGTCCGCGGCGGGCGCTGGCCTTGTTTCCCTGGGGCGGGAAGAAACTCCTCCCAGCACTTGAAGAGGACAACAGCCCACCACCTCCCTGTGTCTCACCTAAGGAGAGAGGGGTGGTGACCGGTGACCTGTCTGCTTCTCCTTTGCAGGGCCTGGCTCAGGGGACTCCCTGGGAAGGGACAGAAGGTTCACTGGGGGGGGGGGGGGGGTGGGGGGGGGGGGGGGGGGGTTAAAAGGGGGGGGTTTGGGCGGGGGGAGGAACAGGAAAGCAGGAAGACTCTAAGTCCTTCTTCATCCCCCCATCAGTGACGGTTCCCCAGGCCCCAGGCTTAACCCTGGCCCCAATCCCTTCTGCCCAGAGCTCTGCCCCCATCCGCTGTGGGCAGCCAGTGGGGAGCCAAGCTCCAATATTGATCTGAAAAGCATGAGGTGGGAAGGGGGATAGCCAACAGTGTAGCTGGGGTTTCCATGGAGACAGCGGGAGGGGAAAAAATTCTCTCTGCATCAAGACTAAAGAACAAATATCTCCCATGAAATTGCCCTGAGTGTCCAATGGCTGTTGCTATGAGCTCACTGCGGCCAGCCGGGTCCCTGCAGGCTGGAAGGAGTGTGTTCCTTGGGGTCAGAGCCCCCCAGGGCTGGGGGGACGGAGGTGATGTGGAACTCTCCCAGCTGTTGGGAGAGCGAGCGACTCCCAGGCAGCCCAAAGTGGCTGTGGAGCTTGTTTTTTTCTTGGAGCCTTAATTCGATTAACACTTCGGGGGCAGTGGCAAAGTGTGCAAAAACCAGGGTACCACCCCTCCCCCCCCATGACCCCCTCAGGCCATCCTCCTGAGCAAGGACGAGGTCACTGAGCTGAGGGAAGGAGCTGATTCGGACTTGGGGTTGGGGGTTGGGGGGGACCTGGGGCTGACCCTTGAAAGCGGGCGTTCAGAGCCACGGTCTCCAAAGGGAGCGTGAGCATCAGAAAGAACAAGGACGAGGTGTGACCCACCAAGCACCATGGGCTACGAAAAGGAGAAAGAAGTGGCAGCTCCAGACTCCAACCCAGGTCTTCAGAGAAGAGAGCAACATCCACAGTGAAACGTCCTTCAAAGGCACCTAGGGTTTGAGCTCCTTTCACAGATGAGGAAACTGAGGCCCCAGAAGGGGAAGCTACTGACCCAAACTCAGAGCAGAGACCTGAACCCAGGTGCTGATTCCCGGACAGTGACATACCCGCTTCCCTGAAGCCGTCCCCAAGTTGAGCTGGTGTGGCCCAGGTGGTGTCACCACCCACCCCACATCTAAGCCCAAAATCCCATCCGGAGAGGCAGCCCCAGCTTTGGGTCACGCCAACCATGGGGAATTCCAACAGCTCAGTTCTCGGGCTTGCATCGCGGGGGGGGGCGGGGGCGGCGGGGTGAGGAGGGGCGGCCCCGGAGGGAGAAGAGAGGTTGGCAAACCTGTTCTCAGCAGTGGTGATGGTTCAGGTTGCCACGAAGCAGGACTCTGGATGACCCAGCTCACTTCTGCTCCACCCCAGGCTCCGAGCCAAGGGTCCCTGAACAGCCCGAGACAGGAAGAATGGGGGCTTCCTGGGACCCCTACCAAACCAGAGAGACAGTGATGGAGAAGCAATCTCTGGGCACATTCCAAGACCGGATCATTTGCCTTATAATTAGCAGCCTTCATCCCTGGGACAGGGACTGAGCCGGCTCAGAGGAAACTAAGCATCACAGCCTGGCCTTCAAGGACCTTGGGTCTGGATAAAAGCAAGACAAAACCACAGATGGGTGGGACAGTGTGCATGCTACCGCCATCAGAGGAAGGGTTCAGTGTGAGCCGGAGCAGTCACAGAGGGGACTTGGCCTAAATGTGGCAGAATCATGACAATAATAGTCATCATTATAATAACTCCCACTATACTCTCTAAATAAATCATCTGAATCCAATTCCACAGATGGGAAGATGGGGGAATCACAAAGGTCATCACCCAAAGTTACCTAGCGAGTCAACGGCAGGGGTGTCTGACCCAAAAGCTGCCTCTAGAAGGAAAAGCTTTGGGCAGGCAGATGTCCATCCAGGCACGGTAGGTAGTGGGCATTACCTTTTCCCGCGTGAGTTACCATGGAGGTCTGGCCCTGAGAGGATGGCGGGCAGTGTTCTCAGGGGGGCTGTGCCTGGGTGTCCATCCCCATTCCAGTACCTGCCGTTAGGCTTCAGTCCAGGGTCAGCTGGCTGGCCGGTTGCAGGAGACGGTGCTGTCTGTTGTCTCAGAAGGGCGGGTGGCCTGGCGGGGAGGCCAGGTGTCCCGCTGCGTGCAGCTGTTGGGCAGGACGGAGCCTGGAGCTGGGAGGGCTCCACAGCCTGAGGCCTGGGCAAGCCCAGAGAAGCTGGAAGCTGTTGATTAGACTTGTGTCTGGCACCCCGGGCGAGCTGACAGCTTGCGGCAGCTCCTACCGCCGACGGAAGGATGGATGGATGAGAACAATCCGTCAGTAGAAGGCCCGGTTCTGCCACAGCTGGCCTCAGAAATAGCCCTGAACATTTCCTCTGACACAGGTTGTGCTGGTAGTTGAGAGGCTGGGGTTCCAGTCACTGCTCTGTCCCCCGCCCCAGGCTGGCTGGTTCTGGGTGAGCCTCTCTGGCCCCCTGGGCTCCAGCCTTAGCACGTTTCTCTGGACTCTCAGTGAAAGTACCAGGGAGAGTCAGGGAATAGATCAGCTAAGGTTTCATGACTGTCGATTTTCTGAAGGAATACAGCAGTGCGCTGGGCCAGGGCCCTAGCAGAGACCCCTGATGAGGGTGAGGTAGTCTCCAAGAAAGCCCGCAGTTCCATCCCCGGTCTATCCCTGACCGGCTGATTGACCACGGACAGGTTCCTTAACCTCTCTGAGCCTCGGGTTCTTCTTCTGTTTAAGTGGCGCCCACTCCTGGGCAGTTGGGAGGCAAGTGTGAACACACACACGCAGAGCGGCCGAGTGCCCTGTCAGGCACGCCGTTGGAAGTGGCCCCCGTGGCTGCCACTGGAAGCTGAGGGTCACCGTCGCGGTGATGGGGAAGCCGTGTCCTTGTTTACAGGGATGACAGAGAGAACGGGCCTTTAGGGCGCTGCTCCCAAGCCCTGTGTGCTCCAAACCGTTCTGTGGGGATCCTGCACTGTCACACGGGCCACCTCCCTGCTCTTCAACCAGGGCCCCTGCCCGGGCCTCGGAGAGCCAGGGAGGTCCAGCCCGGCAGATCCTGGCGGCCAGAGAGTATTGTCTAGATGCGCCCTTCAGGGCGGCTTGGTGGCATCTCACCTTCACTGGATCTCACTCCCCACAGGTGTGGATCTCCGGCCCCAGCTCCTGTGTGCCTACGTGCCCAGCAACGGGGTGGAGGGAGTGACCCCCTTGACCGTGGGCACAGTGAGGCCTGGCGCTCCGGGTGCAATTCACTGAGCCAGGGATGGGCAGAGCCTGCCCAGATGTGCAGTGCTGGGCCCCACAGGTAAAGGTGTGGCCCATCTCCCCCAGGAAGTGTCCCCCAACCTCCAGCTGCAAAGGGTCCCTCCCTCTCTTCTAAAGAGTAAACCCCACTTCCTGGAACTCCTCCCCTCGCTCTGGGCGTCAGACCAATCACCAACACGTCCCTTCATAGTTGGTACCAGGATCTCCTGAGCCGCTCCGTTGATATTTGGGGCCTGTCCTGCGCACTGCAGAACGTTCCGCAGCATCCGGCCTCTACCTGTCAGATGCCAGGAGCACGCCCGGGTGCTCTAGACAGAGCCAAATGTCCCCTGTGGGGAAAGATCACCCCTCGTTGAGAGTCAGGTTTACGAAGCACTTTCGCACCCGTGACCCTATTAGAACCCCATAACCTCTCCCTGCTTTTGGAGGAGTCTGTATTCTTTGCAGCCCCATTTCAGAGACCCAGAGGTGCGGTGACTCCCCCAAGGACATTATGCAAATCAGAAGCAGAACTTGAACTTGACTTGCTCTCACATGTCCTGATCTCCTGGTGCTTATCCCCTGCCTAGAAGACTGTTTCGTATTATATATAACCATGGTCCAATAGCATGGCTCGTAGTTCCATGAGGTTATAAACACCTGAAGGCCAAGGTTGTGGCCCAGATGGCTCTCAGAGTCCCAGTGCCCGCTTGAGTCTGACAGATCCAGTGCTCAGTCAGTACCTGACGGCAAAAGGAGGGAAGGGATTGTTCACTCTAGAGGGCTTTAAGTTTTTGCCAAAGGGTGCCCCATCTTCAAGATCTCGGGTAGAAGGGAAGCTTCACTCTACAACCAACCCATGAGTCTCAGGTGATGCTAAGAGGGGCAGAAGTGGGTGTCGGGACGTAGGGCTGTCACCCATGGGGCTGCTGCTCTGGAGACCCTCGGCTCCCCTGCCAGGCATACCCCCTGGAGCCTGGCTAAGCCCTTTCTCCCCCTCACCCTCCGTGGCAGGGCCCCGAGCCCAGGCT